CGCGTCGCTGTGGCTAAAAGAAAAAAAAAAAAACAGTAAAAGTAGAGAAGACGGAGAAGGAGCTGGAAACTTGTCACGTCGGTGTGAACTCGTGAAGATAAAACAGGGAAAGAAAAAAAAAAAGAAAAAGAAAAAAAAAAAGAAGTCGGCGGCGGAGCTTACCGTGTGCTGGCGGCGGCGGCTCGCTGCTTCTGCTTTACCGGAGCTGAAACCGTCCAACGTGGGAAAAAGGGATGCCGAGGTTCATCTGAGCTCAACGTGAGGTCTGTCCACTTAGCCCAGTCTCTCTCTCTCCCCCTCTCTCTCTCTCTCCTCCCTCTGCTCTCTCCGTCTCTCTCTGTCTCCCCCCTTCTCTCTCCATTAGTTTGTAACTATCACAGAAAGACGACAGTCACCCTAAAAGCCTGCTATTTTTGACATAGTGGCCACTGAGAGCCACTCAGACGTACATACTAACACATTAGCTCGTCTCATATTCGTGTACAAAACACCTCTAAAATCCTAGCTTTGCTTTCTAATTATTACTCCTATTATGATAATTTTCCTTTAAGCCCCCTCAGTATATTCCGGTTAGGCTGTATGGTTTCTTTGAAGCCATGCAGCATGTTTTTTTTTTATTTTTTTATTTTTTCTAATCTGCTTAAATATAGCCAGTCTGCATAATCATCTCCAATAAGTTTGCATTTTCCCCTGTTGTGCCACCCAGAAGCTGGACCAGAAAATTGCCACTCAAGGATGCATTAAATTTCTCCACTAGCCCCCCTCTCACCTGCTAAAAACATGCCTCCTGCGTTTGACTGTAATTACCCCCTACTTCACACTTGGATGGCATTTTTTATTTCCCTGCATCTTTCATGATGTGTTTTTATTGGGAGTAATGAACGATTTCATATACAGTACTTGCAGAAAGTGACTTTAAGTAGATTTCTTTGAGAAACTTTTACATAGATGTGAACCTAAAAAAAAAAGTCAAACCCATGCAACCCGCTTAATGCCCTTATGACGTGATATTTTTTTGACATTTTTATACATTTCATGTTTGATTTGCACCCGAGAGTTTCTTCTGATTAGAAACAGTATTTTCTGCACCTCTGCACACACTCACTTTAAATGCAGATTTTCTTTGGACTATGAAAAAAAGATGACATCGAGCAAAATGAGCTACTCAGTCGGCAGTAGAGCTGCAACGATTAATCAAAGATTAAATTGATCACCTTCTATTTTGATAATAAATTCTTAAGTTTGAGGGATTTTTT